GAAGCTTCCTGACTGACCAATGCCTGGATCCAGTTTTTTTTTGAGATGGAGTCTCACTCTGTTGCCCAGGCTGGAGTGTAGTGGCATGATCTTGCTCACTGCAATCTCCACCTCCCAGGTTCAAGTGATTCTCCTGCCTCATCCTCCAGAGTAGCTGGGATTACAGGTATGCACCACCAGCTAGAGTCTAGTTCTGATCACCTCCCACTGCCCCCTGTAAGTAGAGTGAACTTTTCCAAAGGAAGTGTATGTTGAGCTGAATGGGTGAACCAATGCTACAGTAACAAACAAACCTCACATTTCAATACTTTAATAAGGTTGTGATCGCCTCAAACTATATCCCTATGAAGGGAGAGCTGGGGGCCCTGCTTTATGCTGTCCTCACGCTTAGAACTGGGCTGATAGAGCAGCCACCGTCTGCTGACTGCTCCTGCAGAGGGGCAGAGTGTGTAGTGAATTAACATTGGCTCTTAAAGCTTTGTACAGCAGTAACACATTGCTTCACTCGCTTTTCATTAGCCAAAGCAAGCCACACGGCCATATCCCATTTCAAGGGAAGGAGTATGATAGACCTTATTATTACCAAAATGTTTGCTGTTCCCACCTGTGGAAGGGTTACAATTCTCTCCTCGTTAACATCTGGCCTAGCCACATGACTTGCTTTGGCTACTGGTCTTTTTCTTTTCTTTTCTTTTCTTTTCTTTGAGACAGAGTCTTGCTCTGTTGCCAGGCTAGCATGCAGTGGCACAATCTTGGCTCACTGCAACCTCCACCTCCCGGGTTCAACCACCTCCCGGGTTCTCCTGTCTCAGCCTCCCAATCAGCTGGGACTACCGGCATGTGCCACCATGCCCAGCTAATTTTTGTATTTTTAGTAGCGACAGAATTTCACCATGTTGGCCAGGATGGTCTCGATCTCTTGACCTCGTGATCCGCTCTCCTCAGTCTCCCAAAGTACTGGGATTACAGGTGTCAGCCACTGCACCCGGCCCTGGCTACTGGTCTTTGAGTAGAAATGTGCCATGAGGGACTGACTGCTCCTTTAGTCTGAATCCTGGACATGACAGAACAGAGTGAAATTGACCCACATGGGAACAATGCATGAGTGAGAAAGAAATCTTTGTAGTTATAAGCGCCTATGATTTGGAGGTTGTTCGTTACTACAGTATAACTTAACTTATACTGATGGTCTCAGTGGGGAAGTAGAATTTTATCCCATGCTCAAGAGGAGACTTGGAAATGGCTGATGGGTAGCACGCCTGACGACCACATAGTGCCATTTGAATTGAAAACTGGAGAGAACAGCAGCGGGCTAGGCTGGAGGGAAAGCATTTCAGGAAGGAAGCATGACTGCGGAGGTTTGGAAAAGAGAAGGATGCAGTGAGCAGGTGGATTGGGTGTATGGCAGGAGAGATAGACTGGCAGGGACAGATGCCATCTGTTCTCTTGAGATTGACTGTTAGGTTTGACCTACATCAGTCCCAGATCTAAGGTCACCTTTGAGATGACTTTTGTCAGTTCTGGTAGTAATTTGATTTGGATGACCTTACAGATGCCTCTGTAAGCAGGCATAATAATATTCACTTCTCACTGTTGTTGCGAAGACTGTTGGATGAGTTAAGCACTGGTGGAAAAGCCTGGGCTCTGGAATCAGACAGAGCCGTGTTTGAATCCTGGCTCTGCCACTTACTGAGAACCTTAGAAATTCTTCATCTTAAACATCTGTAAGCCTCTGAGTCCTCATTTGTAAAATGGCAATGATGATTAGCGCTCCATATGGTTGTTATAAGGATTATAAGAAATAGTGGAATTATGCAATGCATAATTTATACAGATTCCATATTCATTAATCCAACATGAGAATTATAGAAATGTTGGGCCTGGGTTATCTTTCTTCTGATTCTTGTTACAAAACAGATGATAGTTTTTATATATTTAAGGCAAAATAATATTGGCATCGTCTTTATGTGAAATATCTCCTTTAAGGTGAAGTTCAGATATTTAACATAAAGAAGCCCTTTAACAGCATAGAGCAAAGCTGCGGTGTTGTTTGCTTTATTCACATGCCATCCCAGGGTCTACAGGGTCTAACTCCCACTGCCGGCCAGTCCCCCTTGAATTCCAACTCCATGATTAGTTCACAGGATCGAACCTGTTGCTTTGTTTGTAGTGATGCCCCAGCAGAAATGAGAATGTAATCAGGCAGACTGGGCTAAAAGTTATTTACCCACCAGAGCTCTGCACAGGCCGGTCGCAGCCCTCTGAGAAAGACAGCTGTCAGAGCCATTTGCTAAGAACTTTCTTCTAACGTGTATCCGGCAGGTAAGGCCAGGGACAGTCCTCCAATCCCAGGGATTTCAGTTAACAGGGTGTAAGCTAAGATCTTTACTTAGATCATCTCATTTAATCCTCAAAACAACGCTGGTATCAAACACTAACATATTCATTCCATTTCTCAGATGAGGAAGTGGAGGATCGGGAAGGTAGACATAATTTTATTAGCTGGGATTCAGAAGAAGAACGTAATCACTGCATTAAATTACTTATTAGGATTTCATAGTTAAGGGAACCACAACCTTAGTGACTTATTCTGGCCTCACTGTCCTGTTAGTTAATCCCCTGGTGTCCTAACTCCCAGGAAGAGCTGAGTTTTATATTTATGAATGTACACAAGTTATAAGTCAGGTGCCACCAAACCTGTTGATCTTTCACAAGTGTGATCTCTTATGTCACATCCAAGCTTAGAAAGTAATTTTTTTAATAGTCAATTCTTTTTTTTAAAGATTTTTTTGTTTGTTTGAGACAAGGTCTAGCTCTGTCACCCAGACTGGAGTGCAGTGGCAAGATCTCCACTCACTGCAGCCTCTGCCTCCCCACCCCGCCGGGTTCAAGGGATTCTCCTGCCTCAGCTCCTGGAGTAGCTGGGACTACAGGTGTGTGCTAGCACACCTGGCTAATTTTTTGTATTTTTAGTAGAGATGGAGTTTTGCCATGTTGGCCGGGCTGGTCTTGAACTCCTGGCCTCAGGTGACCTGTCCTTTTCAGCCTCCCAAGGTGCTGGGATTACAGGCATGTGCCACTGCACCTGGCTGAATTTTTAAAGACTCTTTAATGGCTTGCTTAAAAAAGATATATTATTTAACTTTTTAATAAGAGAATAATTGGTGATCTTGGACCGCCCCCCTCCCCCTCAATGAATGCAGGGATTGTGCAATCTGTATTTTTTAAACAACTTTGTTGAGATATGATTCATATACCATAAAATCTGACCTTTTAATGCATATACTTCACTGGTGTTTAGCGTATTTGCCAGCTTGAGCAGCCATCATCTCTGTCTAATTGCAGAGTATTTTCACCACTGCAAAAGGAAACCCTTTAAGTACCCCATTAGCAGGTACTCCCCATTCCTCTCTCCTCTTTCCCCAGTCATAGGCAACCGCAAATCTGTCTCTGTGGATTTGCATATTCTGGATATTTTATATAAATGGAATCATGTGATATATACACTTATTTATTTAACTGTTTAAACCATTGCACATGTATTCTATTGAGAAGTGAGGTTCCAAACAGACTTCACTTTCCAAACTGCTTACCTGTTGTCCCAGCACCACTTCTCTGTCACATTCAGCTTCTTTGGTGATTGGTGACGTGCTCCAGTCTTTGCTATCAGCTCTGTTTCTGGGCCCTCAAATCTGCCCCACTGATGTTTCTCTTCAGGATCCCTACAGGATGTGAAGTCAGATAGGACTTGATCTAAATCCCAGATCTCATATGTCAGCTGTGACATCCATTTATTAATCTAGCCTACAAATATAAATATTTATTGAATTCTGTGCCAAGTTTTTTTTTTTTTTTGCAGGGTCCCACTCTACCGTCCAGGCTGGAGTGCTGGAGTGCAGTGGCATGATCACAGCTCACTGCAGCCCCAGCCCCAACCTCCTGGGCTAAAGCCATCCTCCTGCTCACCCTCCCAAGTAGCTGGGACCACAGGCATGTGCCACCATACCTGGCTAATTTTTGTTTTTTTTTTGTGGAGACAGGGTTTTACCATGTTGCCCAGGCTGGTCTCCAACTACTGAGCTCAAGCAATCCACCCACCTTGGCCTCCTGAAGTGTTGGGATTACAGGCATGAGCCACCGCCCTGGCCCCAAGTCTTTTTTTTTTTTTTTTTTGAGTCTGATATTATTTATTTGTTACTCAAAAAATCTTATTTCTGACTGGATTCAGACTTAGAAGTAGAAGCTCGCAGAGACGAAAGTCTGCGTCTCTTCGCAATTTGTTCCTGGCGCTTCTCTTTAGCCTCCTTCATTCTCTTGGCCAAAAGTTTAGCATATTCTGCAGCCTCTTCCTTGTTTTTCTTAGTACGCTGCTTCTTCAGAGCAATACGCCGCCGTTTGTGCTGCAGGACACGTGGAGTAACAAGACGCTGAATCTTGGGTGCTTTGGTCCTAGGTTTCTTACCTTCTTTGTTTAAGGGCTTTCTTACAACATATTGGCGGACGTCATCTTCTTTAGAGAGATTGAAAAGTTTGCGGATTCTGCTAGCTCTTTTAGGCCCCAGGCGACGAGGCACGGTGGTATCAGTTAGTCCAGGAATATCCTTCTCTCCTTTTTTTACAATAACCAAGTTGAGAACGCTCAGATTAGCATCCACAATGCAACCACGAACTGATTTTCTCTTTCTTTCTCCAGTTCTCCTTGGTCTGTAACAGGAATGCCCCTTACTCAGTAGCAGGCGGACACGGCCATGGGTCAAGACACCCTGCTTCATAGGGAAACCTTGTTTGTCATTCCCACCACTGATTCGGACCACATAACCCTTCCATTCTTCACCCAGAGCGTCAGCGGCAACTTCTGTCGCCATACGCTTCTCATAAAAAGTACGAAGTTTGCGTTCATCGTCCACTTCAATGAGTTTCTGGCAGCCAGTGGCTGGGAAGGAGATGTTCAGCTTCATCTTGAACCCCAAGTCTTATCCTAGGCACTGGGGACCCAGAATTGCAGATGTGTTCCCTGTTTTAAGCAGAGGGACCAACACAATCTAGAAGGGAAAATTCCTATGGCTAGCAACACAGACGCAAACAGCAGTGGCGAGAGTGAGGCGCTTTGTATATATTTTCCTTCTATATCTTAATCCTGATAACTGGCTTCAAGGCCCCATTTTCCAGATGAAAAAAACTGAAGTTCAGAGCAGTCAACTAACTTGCCTAGAGCAAATGCATTGTAAGTGGCACACCAGGCTTCGTAAGTGGTAAACCAAGCTGATATCAAGCCCTTGGGATTAAGCTCTCCGCTATACCAGGGAGAAAGGGCCATGGAGGGCCAGCAAGTGGGAGGCAGGCCACAGAAAAGAAGAACAGCTGGTCCAAGGTCTCAGAGCAGATTCATTTCGGGGGAAAGACCGCTATCTCTGCTGCCCCAGGCAGAGGAAGACTTGGGCCCTGTGAAAGGAAAATAAAACCTCAGGATCCCCAAATCACTAAGCCAAGGGAAGAAATCAAGCTGGGAACTATGCCAGGAAAACCCACCTCCCATTTTATTCCTAAATAAGGCAAGATAGTTACATACCTCTGTCACAAACTGCCCACAAGAAAATTCACTGTGGGCCTCAAGATCTTTACCCTAAAACAGTTCTGTTGAATTTCACCTTGCAATGTAAACTAATAGCTGATCTTCAGAGGCGTGCACAGAAAATCATCTCTGCTCACCTGAGACAAATGCACATATGATTGCTTCCTCTGCCCTATTGTTTATGAAAAATGCAGATTCACTGATTCAGACTAAATTGTGTACTCAGTGGAAGGCTGATCAAGGAATCAAAAGAATGCAACCTTTTGTCTCTTATCAACCTTCTGCCTCTTATGACCTGGAAGCACCGCACCCCTCACCTTCAAGTTGTCGCACATTGCCAGAGCAAACCAATGCACATCTTACACATACTGATTGATATCTCCTGTCTCCCTGACATGTATCAAAGCAAGCTGTGCCCTGACTACCTTAGGCACATGCCAGGGCCTCCTGAGGCTGTGTCATGGGTGCATCCTTAAGCTTGAGAAAACAAACTTTCTACACTGACTGAGATCTGTGTCCGATATTTGGGGTTCATATCCCTGCCATCACTGCCCTCCTCCCCACCTCCTGCCCTAGGCATGGCTGGCAGACAAAAACCGGGAGAGCAGCCCACTCCCTGCGGATCTACCTTTCCTGGAACAGGCAGAGGAGGTTCTGTGTCACAGCGTGGAGGTGGGGTGTAAGCCTGCAGGAGGTTACAGCTGATCCCTGAGGTGGGGCTGCCCTAAGGTGGTGGCTTCAGTCTGGGAGGGCCAGAAGACCTCAGGTGAGACCTCAGCAGCCCACATGGAGAGGAAGGGTTGGGAGAGGGTGGGGAAATGACTAGACTCTGATGCATGCAAGTCTCCCACTTCCATTCAAAGGCGCATCAGTGAGATGCTTGAATCTGCAGTGAAGGGCAAGAGACACGACCCCAGGAGAGAGTAGCTGTGCTTTGAGGCAGTGGAACCAGCTCCTGGTGGGAGACTGAGGTCTTGGTGCTACCCCACTTTCACTCCTGATTTGCTGAATGATCTGGAGACCTCCGGGCCCCACGGCTTTCCATCTGCAGAGCGGAAAGAGTGGATGGGAGGTTTCTAGGTTCCCTCCACTTCTCATCATTGCCAACATTCACTTGTAGCAGCGGTCGGACTCCCCTCTGTGCACCTGTCCTGCAGGCAGACCTAGGATGGTACGTTTTCCTGGCTTGGGAGATTTGGGCTGAGCAGTCCAGGGTGGCTGAGGTTTAGAGGGGACAGCTGGGGAAGTACTTCTTCTATTTCTTAAGATCTGTGCTGTACTCTGCTCTTCCCATAGGGATTTACCTGAAGCCCAGGAACACCGTAGATCTGGCTCCCAAAACTGCTTTTGCAAAACTAAAACACTTGGAGAAATCTAACAAGCTGACTCCATCTTGCTGTTTTTGAAAAATATATCTTTTGGCATACAAATTTTTTTGTCGTTACATGGATGAATTATACAGTGGTGAATTCTGAGATTTTAGCGCACCCGACATCTGAGTAGTGTTAACTAATGTGTAGTTTTTATCCCTAGCACCCCTCCAGCCTCCTCCTTCTTCTGAGTCTTTGAAATCCATTATGTTACTCTGTGTTTATATATTTGTAGCTTAGCTCCCACTCATAAGTGAGAACATACATTTTTGGGTTTTCCACTCCTGTGTTACCTCACTTAGAATACTGGCCTCCAGGCTGGGTGTGGTGACTCATGCCTGTAATCCCCGAACTTTGGGAGGCCAAGGTGGGCAGATCACTTGAGGTCAGGAATTCGAGACCAGCCTGGCCAACATGGCGAAACCCTGTCACTACTGAAAATACAAAAATTAGCCAGGCGTAGTGGTGGGTCCCTGTAGTCCCAGCTACTAGGGAGGCTGAGGCAGGAGAATTGCTTGACCTGGCAGGCAGAGGTTGCAGTGAGCTGAGATCATGCCACTGCACTCCAACCTGGGGACAGAGTAAGACCCTGTCTCAAATTAAAAAAAAAAAAAAAAAGTGGCCTCCAGCTCCATCCATGTTGCTGCAAAAGACATTATTTTGTTCCTTTTAGTGGCTGAGTAGTATTCCATTGTGTATGTATACATTCTCTCTATCCGCTCATTAGTCTATGGGCACTTAGGTTGGTTCCATATCTTTGCAATTATGAACTGACTGCTATAAACATGTGTGTGCAAGTGTCTCTTTCATATATTGACTTATTTTCCTTTGGGTAGATACCCAGTAGTGGGACTGCTGGATATCCATCTTGCTTCTAACCTCACAGACTCACTGCTTTTGCTCTTTCCTGGCCATAGGTCAAACCAATTAAAAAACTAAGTTTACAATTTAAAGCAAGGATGATAAGAGTTCCTTCCTGAAACTAGCCCCTTCCTTGTTTGGGGACCCAAACTGCCTTTGGAAAACTAATGAAAGTCAGCAAGGTTAGAATTGTGGTAGGGGCTGGAATTCTGCTATGGTATAACCACACATAAGTGATAACCAGCCATTATTCTCTCTTTTTTTTTTTTTTTTAACAGTCCATAGGCCTTTTATTTTTTTAACACCTATGATGCCACGAATTCATAGGGAATAGGTTCCAGCCGCTCAGGCTCCTTCCCACTAGTTCCCACAGTGTGTGCTTCTCTGGGTGGAGCAGGCCAGCGCTTCGGTTGAACCCGGGTAACATATTCTTTGACTTCCTTCTTTTTCTGATCATTTTCCTTCACTCGTTTAAGGAAGCTGTCTCCGCTCTTAGAGTGCTTAATGTGCTCAATATGCACATTAATTCTCTTGGCAAGAATCTTGCCCTTAACTTATTTACAACAACACCAACAGTGTGCTGGGTAACATTGTAGACTCTTCCACTTTTGCCATGATAACATCTGTGGGGCATTCCCTTTTGAACAGTGCCCATTCCCTTGATGTCTACAATATCATCTTTCTTATAGATTTGCATATACGTGGCCAAAGGAACAACTCCATGTTTTCTAAAAGGCCTAGAGAACATATATCGAGTGCCTCTCCTCTTTCCCTTTGTGTTCCTTATTTCGGCAAATTACTGGAAGATGACGGTTCCAGCTGAAAGGAACCAGCCATTATTCTTTAACTCACCAACTGCTCAGGAGTCTGTAGCCAAAGGTCACAAGATAAAGGAACTTCCCCAATTGCTCCTATAGATAACATCACTATTATAAAACCTAAGATTGGCCTTCATTTTTCAGACTTTTGCATTCTAGAGAATCTTGACTTATATGGAAGAACAGACTCAGTGGATCCTGTGACCCCCACCAGAAACTGCATGCAAAGATAATTCTGGGGCTTTTATAGTTTAATCCCCAGCAAAGCTGCATGTCCTACTACCTGCCCACCAAACTATCCTGAAAAACCCTAGCCTCCAAATTCTCAGAGAGGTTGATTTGAGAAATACCTCCCACTCAGCTGTGTGTGATAATTAAACTCTTTCTCTGTTACAACACTCCTGCTGTTCTCAGTGTATTGGCTTTTCTGGGCAGCAGGCAAGAACCTGGCTGGGTGATTACCCCCCTGGCTGTCTCTGAAGAAGAGGTTGCAGTGGGCCCCAGGTAAGTCTGGGTGTGGAGTGAGGACACGAGTACACTCCCGGCTGTTGGAACAGAAGGCTCTGGCTGCAGGTTGGCCTCGCTTTAGTCTCAGGCAGCTGTGGCCAGCAGTGGGTTCAGTGGCTGCTGTAGGAAGCCTGGATTCCAGTCCCAGCTCTGCTACCAAACACTTGACCATGGCCAAGTCTTTTCCCCTCTCTGGGCCTCTTGTCCCTGCTCGTAAAATGTGGCTGTTGGACTCGATCACTTCCTAGGTCCTAGCTGTGATCGAAAGATCTAAAGGAACTCAGACTCCACACTTACCTTTTTTTTTTTTTTTTTTTTTTGAGACAGGGTCTTGCTCTGTCGCCCAGGCTGAAGTGCAGTGGCACAATCTCGGCTCACTGCAACCACTGCCTCCCTCCCAGATTCAAGTGATTCTCCTGCCTCAGTCTCCTGAGTAGCTGAGATTATAGGCACACATCAACACGCCTGGCTAATTTTTGTATTTTTAGTAGAGACGGTTTCACCATGTTGGTCAGACTGGTCTCAAACTCCTGACCTTGTGATCCGCCCGTCTCGGCCTCCCAAAGTGCTGGGATTACAGGCATGAGCCACTGCATCTGGCCCACACTTATTGTTTCTGTGCCTCGGTTTTCTCATCTCTGGATGGGAACATGTATGTGAGAGAGCCTGGGAGAGAACCACAATCACCCCATCCTGTGTGGGTGGTGCATGCAACTTGCTTGACATCCATACCAGGATTCTGACATAGGCTGGGCTGGGGCCAGTAGCCCATCATCCTACAGATGGGAAACTCAGGAGGGCTCCATGGAGCTCTCTGTAGCTAGATGGGAAGGCCAAGGGCATACTTACTGGAGAGCTGGCCGGTCGTGTTGGCTCACACCTATAATCCCAGCACTTTGGGAGGCCAATGTGGGTGGATCACCTGAGGTCAGGAGTTAAAGACCAGGCTGGCCAACATGGTGAAACCCTATCTCTGCTAAAAGTACAATACAAAAATTAGCTGGGGGCGATGGTGTATGCCTGTAATCCCAGCTACTTGGGAAGCTGAGGCAGGAGAATTGCTTGAACACAGGAGGCAGAGGTTACAGTGGTCCAAGATTGTGCCACTGCATTCCAGCCTGGGCAACAGAGCAAGCCTCCATCTCAAAAAACAAACAACAAAAAAAAACTTACCTGGGAGCTCTGGCTCCCAGGGCCTGTGGGGAGTGGGGAGCAGAGAGCTAGGAGGAGGCTGGGTCATCAGAACAAGTCTTTTCCAGGATGCAAGGACCATGCTCAGTAGACGGCTCAGTTGGAGTTTCGGGGATGAGCACCAGTCTCGGAGGCCTGAAGGAAGCCCATGGAAGCCCGTGGCCATGGCCAAAGGAGCTCATTACCCTGGGGCCAGAAGAATCTGCGCATCAAGTGGTCCTGCAAAGGATCCAGGAGCTTTCTGATTTGGTATGGAGGGAGAGGAAAGATGGGGAGTTATGAGCCTCAGGTCTTCCATAGTGGGCAAGAAGGAAGGCTTTCTGTTTCACCATTCTGTAACACCATCCGGCTGTCTCTCTCAAGGCTCTCTTGTGCTAAAACCAGTGGAAAAGCTTGACTTGGGAAACCCTTCATAGGGTTTCCTAACTAAGCCCTCCTGAGTTTTTGTTCTTCCTGCCCTGCCTGCTTCCACCACTTAGGGTTTTACCCAGTGCCAAGCTGTGTGTGCCTCCAGCTTCAGTCTACAAAGATGATTGCCCGATTGTCCTCCTGGCTTCCCTGGCTCCCTGGGTTTTTAGGGCTGTGCTGCCTCCGTGCATGGTCATGTCTGGACCCGATCACCACCATCACCAGAGAACCTGTTGGAGGTGTGGACTCTTTGTCCACCCCAGACCGACTGCACGGAGCACATAGTTGACAAGATCCTGAGGGATTTGCCTGCTGGGAAGGCCTGCTCTAGACTCACCCAGTGACTTACCATTTCTCCACCAGCTTCCAGGGGCCCCACCCCTCCAACCCTCAGACTCCCTTAGGACACAGAGTCTCAGCTCTCTTACCATCTTCACCACCCCCTCCCTGCCAGTCAGGGGATCCTTTTCCTGGTCTGAGGGAGGGCCTTCTATCAGTGTCACCGTGACATTCTTCTTGTACCCTGGCACCCTCTTCTCCCAAGGGCTAAGCTTCCCAAAGAAGGCCAGGAAGTCTTATAGCCGCCTCCCACCTGGCCGCATCTCTCCCCCAGGGACATGATAGAGCCAGACATGGGCATCAGTGAGGAGGAGAAGAAGAGAGAAAATTAGAGGGAAAACTAGATACCTCAAAATATGCTGACCCACAGGTGTCATCTCAAGGTGTTCATTGTTGGGACTGAATCTCAACTGTGCTGCTATCCAGCAGTAAGAACTTGGGTGAGGCACCCCAGCCCTCTGTACCTCAGTGGCTGCATCTGTGCAATGGGAATGCTTTATATAGTACCTCCTTCCCTTCCCCCAGCATGGTGTGTGGCTCACGATAGTTAATTAATGAGCTCATGCTGCATGAGTCCGCAACTTTTTCTCTGTGGCTCAGTCAGATGGAAGCTCCACAAGGATGGGGATTTGGGGTCCATTTTCTTCACTGCTCTTTCCCCAGTACCCAGACTAGAGTATGGTGCAGAGTAGGTACTGGATGACCCTGTTGAATAATTGTAGAACAAATAGCCTGGAGCTGTCCCAGCCCAGCAGGCTCTTCTCTCCTCTAAGAACTGCGGCACACATCGCAAGGCAGAATATAAAAGTGTCAAGAGTGGTCTCCCAAGACTTAGGAGACCTGGGTTCAGACCCTGTCTTTGCCATCCTCTTACTGTAGGACCTTGAGCCTATCTTGAGTAGGACCTTTCTGAGCCTTTGCTTCCCCATCTCTAAAACGAGGGCCCAAGTTTGAGGAGGTGAGCTGGCAAGGGCACTGGGGGTGTTCAGGGAGGTCCGCCTGTGTGCCCCGGCATGTGTGTGTGGAGGGGTCTGTGTGCATGCATGTATCTCTGTGTGTTGCGGTCTCTCTGGTGTGTCTCTGGGTGTGCTCTGTCTGAGCACAGGTGGGTATGTGCATGTCTTGGCTTTCATATCCCCCAAAAGCAGACTCTTAGACAAACACTTGGATGCAAGTCGTTTTTTTTGGAGATGATCGGTGGAAGCACCAATTAGGAAGTCAGGAAAGTGAGACAGAAGGGAGAAAAGTCAGAAGAGAATTCATCTATGAGCTAGTTACCAGTGTGGGCCCCTGCACCAGTCCCCCTGGGGACAACGCAGAACCTCAGAATCATCCCAGTAGAGGACAGGAGGCTGGGTCCTTTATTCACCAACTCCTGTCCCTCTTTGGTTGAAGACTGTGGTCTGGAGGTGTTAATTTCCCCACATTCCAGCTAGTTTCCAAGGCTGAGGGGAGGTGGCACAGGGTATCCACTGCAGCTGCAGCAAGGTGTTGGGGGATGTTCCTCTCTGTGTGTCTGTATATGTATGTTTTCCTGTAGAATTGTTAGCATCACCAATATAGTTACAGGTGGGAGTTTACATTCCCAGGGTCCATGAGATACCTGTCTTCTTAGTGTGCATTGGATTAAATCACTGCACCTTTGGACTTCTCAGGGAGCCCGGTGGCCCTGCTCTTTCAGCCCCTACACCAACCATGCAACCCAGACAAGTGACCTCCTGTCTCTCAGCTTCTGTCCTCTTTGGTAAACAGGGATAATTTTAACACCTACCCTGCAGGGTGCCTCGGGAATGAAAGGACTGACCCAGGTAAGGCGCCAGCACAGGCCCTGGCACATCAACACGTGTTGGATGAGTTCACCTCTTCCTGCTGTCCCTCCACCCCATTCCAGCTGGCGAGAGTGATCAGTGCTGCCCTGGCCCAGGACTTCCCTGAGGAGTATGGCATCAAGGTCATCGCAGAACCTGGCCACTTCTATGTGGAGTCTGTCTGCACTGCCGCTGTCAACATCATTGCCAAGAAGGCTGTGCTGGAGCCTGGTGAGTGGGCCAGGATGGCGCCGGGTAGGGAGGCCACTGTCTAGGCATTCCTAGGCCCTGGGAGAGAGGAAGGGCAGAGGGTTGGGCTCTGTCCCAGGGAATGGGGGTCAGAGTAGTGACTGAGCACTCTCTAGACCTGTCCTTTCCCTGCTTTCAGGAGGCAGCCAGAAGCTGGTGTATTATCTCAATGATGGCCACTATGGCTCCTTCCGCATCTGCCACCGAGAGCCTGACCCGAGGGTTCCCATCGTGGTGAAGGTAAGGGGGCCACACCAGCCCCAAGAGTCTAGTCCTTTACCTCCACATGGCTTGTGCCTCCCAGACTGGGAACAGTGGCTGTGTTGGACCCCAGAGGCAGGGCCTTGCCTACTGCTTAATGCACACGTGGGCACATGCATGATGTGTTGCCCACAGGTCAGAGCATGTGCAGCAGCTGGATATGGGGGCCTCGTCAGCCAAAGGGACCATCACCAGAACAAAAAGATGTGGCTTGTTTTCCAAAATATTCAAGTTCTTCTTCCTGGTGGTTCAAGAATCATTCCCGAGTCTCTCAAGGGCCTTACCCCCAGCACCCCTACTTCTCAGTCCCTCCCATGATCTGGCAACAAAGCTGTGATACCTAACCCTGTAGGGCCAGCCATGTCTTCCTCCAGCTCCGGGGCAGGTGTGTCTGCTGATGCGATGGGTTGTAAATATCTTGACTTGCTCCTGGCCAGTGAACATCTTGGTGTGTGCACATGTTTGGTCACGTATGTGACATATGTCTGCATGCAAGTGCGAGTGTGTATGTGTGTGTGGTATTTCTGGGTGTGTGTCTTTGTGTGTATATTTGCCTCTCTTCCAATTGCAGGGAGTGAGTACTGGATGTGGAAGAACCAATAGGAGACCCCGGAATAGTTTTCAATTTTAGTTGCCCATATTTAAAAACTTACACATATTTCATAAAAGCCTAGACTTTCTCAGCTCCTCTCAAAGATTTGAGACATTTGATGTTACAGGACTTGCAGAACAACAAGGCAACAAATATTTCAACAAATTAGTCTAGCATGTCAGGCATGTGGCGCCATCTGCTGGAATGGGACTTCCACTAGACAGGCCTCCCCACCCAATGTCTTTTCCTTTGGACAGTCATTGATTTTCCAGTTTGTCATAAGGCTTACCTGGCCCATTTCACTCCTTTGTGCTACCTGCTTGACCCCTAGGTAACTGAGTTTTCAACTGCTCCCTTATAGGAATTATTGAAGACAATAGCCCCATTTACAGAGGAGGAAACTGAGGCTTTATTTGTAGGCACATCAGACCCCCGCCAGGCTGGGCAGGGGCCATGGAGGGATGGATCCCAGCCAGTGTACACCCGTGTGTCCCTGGGAGTGCCCTTCTGGGTCTTTCAATGGCTTCCAGGTAAGGGGGTGGGATAGGCCAGCCCGCTGTCTTTTCTGACCCCCTTTCCTATGTCACACAGGAGTTCTGCTCAGAGCCGCCCCTCTTCCCCTGCACCCTCTATGGCCCCACATGTGACGCCCTTGACAGGCTCTTCTTGGAGGATGTACGGCTGCCTGAGCTGGACGTAGGTGATTGGCTGGTCTTCCCCTCCATGGGTGCCTACAAGTCCTCCATGAGCTCCAGCTTCAATGGCTTCCTGCCCACCACCATCTTGTATGCCATTGGCCCCCAGCTCAGGTGCCTGGGGGCTGAGGTTGAAGAGGAAGCAGGGAACCTCACACTCACTGGAGACTGGGGTGGGAACTGGTCCCAAGGACTCTCCCTTCCCATTGACTCACTGAAGTCAAAGTGTCCATCTGACCTTTAGACTCTGATCTGCCACTGGGCCCCCTCCCAGGGAGGTGGAGATTTGCAAAGCTGAAGCCTCTATTCAAGCAGAATTGGTGGCAGGGGACCCCCAGGCCCTCTACCCACTGGCTGGCCTCGCTCCTGCTTCAGGTGTCCACTGCCCCAGCTCTGCCTCCAGGCCCCAGCTCTGCTGCTGTGTGTGTAGCCTCAGGGCTGTAGACAAAGGGCCTTGACACCCACCCTGCATCCCATGCCCTTTCCCCAGGAGCCTTCTGGAGGCAGAGCCTTAACCCAGAGCCAGCCAAGCTGGAGGACTTTCAGACACTCTGGTAGGTAGGCCCCTGGGAACTGTTGGGAGTCCAGATGGCAGGGAGGAGGCAGAGGTTTGGGTAACTCTGAAATCCTATGTGGAACTTCCAAAAACATCTTGCTGTGATTTTGGGTCAGTTCTTTCCTTTTCTCTCTTCTGCCTTCCTTCCTTCCTTCCTTCCTTCCTTCCTTCCTTCCTTCCTTCCTTCCTTCCCTCCCTCCTTCTCTCCTTCCTTCCTTGCTTCCTTTCTTCCTCTCTTTCCTCCTTCTCTCTTTCCTTCCTTCCCTCCTTCCTTCTTACCTTCCTTCCATCTTTCCCTTTCTTTCTCTTTCTCTTTCTCTTTCTTTCTCTCCTTTCTTTTTGAGACAGAGTCTTACTCTTTTACTCAGGCTGGAGTGCAGTGGCACAATCTCGGCTCACTGAAGCCTCAACCTCCCAGGGTTCAGGTGCCTCCTGAGTAGCTGGGACTATAGGCATGCACCACCACACACAGCTAATTTCTGTATATTTGGTAGAGATGAGGTTTCACCATTTTGCGCAGGCTTGTCTCAAACTTCTGGACTCAACTGATCCGCCTGCCTCAGTCTCCCAAAGTGCTGGGGTTACAGGCCTGAGCCACTGCATGCCTGTGGCTTTGGTCAGATCTTACACTGAGTTTTCTCAGCAGCGGCCTGCCCTGCCCACCCTTCTTATTTTCTTCCTCATCCCTCTTTTCCCACCCTCTGGAGCAGTGGTTGAAGGGGACACATTAGAAGCTACTTCCTTGCAGGGTGACAACAAAAAAAATGGGCTATTGATCTTTTATGTCAAATAATACAGCTTACATACCTGCTCAATTCATACCTAACTGGCGTCAGTTTACATCCTTAAATTCATCCCGCCACTCCTCCCACTTTCTATTTACTCATGCCCTTGCCTTGTCCCAGAAAGGGTTTCTATAAAATGCACCAACATATCATAGTGGTTAAGAGCATGTCATTGGAATAAGTGAAAACTGGGCTCAAATTTAGGCACCACTGCTACTAGCTGTGAACTTGGGCGGGTTAACTAACTTAGTTGAACTCTAGTTTTCCTTGTAAAATGGTGGGAAGAATAACAACTTCCCCGTAGGGTTGTTGGGATTAAGAGAGAAATGAACATGTTATTTAGGGTCAGCTTCCCCCCACCTGAGATGGAGTTTCACTCTTGTTGCCCCACTTGGAGTGCAATGGCACCATCTCAGCTCACTGCAACCTCCACCTCCTGGGTTCGGGCAATCCTCCTGCCTCAGCCTCCCGAGTAGCTGGGATTACGGGTGTGCACCATCAAGCCTGGCTAATTTTTGCATTTTTAGTAGAGACAGTGTTTCACCATCTTGGTCAGCTGGTCTTCAACTCCTGACCTCAGGTGATCCACCCACCTTGGCTTCCCAAAGTGCTGGGATTACAGGCTTGAGCCACTGTGCACAGCCTAGAGTCAGCTTTTCCTTCAGCCACCTTGTTCTTGCTGGCTCTCCTCCTGGAGTTCAGATGTCGAAGAGACCCCACCCTAAGTCCTGGGCCTTTTCATAGAGTGTTTGTAGGGTGTCTCATTCAGGCCAAGCCAAGATGTGTACCCGATGCTATGGGGACAGGTGAGGCAGGTGCAGACCCAGTTCTCGAGAAGTCCTGAGGCCTGTGGAAAGCTAAAGGCAGGTGCAGCTGGCTTCAGCACAGGGAGGAACATGGGACATACTTTGAGGACAGTTCAGGGGGAAGCCATCCATTTGGAAGAGTGGGTGGCTTCTTGGAGGGAGAGTCAGGGGACCTGGAGGGAGAGCAGAATCAGTAGGTAAAAGTGAGCAGGAAGCGTGGCTCAGCTGTGGGAACAACTTGGCCCAGGCATGGGAATAAGCCTCTGCTCAGGGAACAGTGAGTGGCCAGGACTGGAGATGAGAAACAGAGATTTCAGAGCCTAGGGACACAGGTGACTAGTTCACCTGGATTTGTCTGGAATATTTCTAGTGCTGGTGTTGTAAGTCCTGAGTCCTAGGAAACTCCTAAGTCTCAGGCAAACCAGATGTTTGGGGAGGGAGGGAAGGAGCAGAGGCAGGGCCCATAACATCCCAAGGCCACATTCCTGCAGCAAGTGAGTTCAGCTACTGATTTCTCAACTTCCAATTCAGGGAAGGTGCCTCCCCTCCCTTCAGCAGGACATCTCCCACCATCTCTGCTACCACTCAACTCAGCCAGGTCTTCAGTGTTCCCAGAGTCCCTGGAGCTAAAGAGGAATTTCCCCTGACACCTGGGAAGCAAAGGGCAGATTGGGGTAATAGAGGCTACTCAGAGAAGATAGAGAAGCTCAACAGCCCATCCAATCAGGTGCATCTTATGAGGGCATCCCAGAATATCAAATTCCTTGCTTGCAAAATGGTCTTGGTTATACCCAAACGCTCAGGAAATAAGAAGCACGGATTATGGGTGGGATACTTAGGAGCATGAGCAGGCTTTGGGAAATGTATATCAGATGGAAGACATTCCAGTGAGTTTTCTTTGCCCCTTGGGGGTGGGAGATGGTAAGTGGGTCTGGGTATGTAAATCGCAGCCCTCCAGGTCTAACCAACCAGTGACAGACCATGAACAAGATGATGTTTGCAGTTTATGATCCATAAGAAGCCGCCTCCATCACTTGAATCATGGGGCATTAAAAACAAACAAACAACTAGAAAACACTCGGAATCTGGAGTGGTGTCACACGTCTGTTGTCACCTCCTACCTCTGCCAGTCCCTGGCTGCTGGACCGCTGCAGCTCCAGGTGCCTCAAGGGTCTCCCTCAGCCCCCATCTCCTAACTGTGTCCTCCAGGCACCTCCAGGTGTTCCTAAGGCCACCACCTTGTGGGAAGATACACTCCCCTGACACTGACACTGACACTGTCAGAACGGCTGGCTGCCTGGACCGTTTGCTGCCTCTGCATGAACCACCAGTTCCCAGGCAGGAGCCCAGGGTCACCCCCTACCACCACTGCTCCTTCGCAGGAGCCCCTCCATGGCCACTGTAGGAAGCACTGCCAGGAGCTAAACAGCTGCTGCCTTCCTCCCATATTCTTTTCTGGCATGAGTACCTCCCATTGGCAGAATGTCATGGAAACCCAACTAGCAAGGGAATCTGGGAAATGTAGTTTGTACGCTTCCAGCCTGGTGGCACAGAGGAGGATATGGAAAGGCAAGCAAGAGGGACTATGGGGCTCAATACAATAGACTATATCTGGCAGAGGGAGATGGGCAAGAAAGAAGTAATTAGAATTCATAGTTTTTAAACTGGCCCAATTGTCCCACAGAACTGATGTTTTTGGTTTATTTTGAACAAACATAAAAATTGACCCTTCCAATCTTGAAATGAGAACATTATATTTGTCTTTTTTTTTTGAGATGGAGTTTCGCTCTTCTTACCCAGGCTGGAGTGCAATGGCGCAATCTCGGCTCACCGCAGCCTCCGCCTCCTGGTTTCAGGCAATACTCCTGCCTCAGCCTCCTTATATTTGTCTTATCTGAGTTCCTTTCTCAGGAAACCAACCATCCAGGCTCCCAGACAGTATCAAGGAGCTGAAACTCACCAGACCCCTCACCTGTTGATTGTCTAACTGACCAGCTACTTCTGTTGATCAGCTTCTCTTCCTTACCCCTTTCTAATTCCTGTTTTCCCACACATAGTTACATTTCTTCCTTGCTATATAAACCTCTGATTTTATTGGATTTGAGACTGATCACCCATCTGATTGGCTGCAACACCCAATTAAAGCCTTCCATGGCAATATTTGTCTGTGTTTGGCTTCTGTGCAGCAAGCAGAAAGACCTAGACAGAACTCCTCGTGTTCTGGTAACAGTTTCTGTACAATGACAGAGAAGATAACCTGAAAACCTTCTCAACAACAAAACCTAGATTTGCCAGATAGATGCATTGCTGGACTCATAAGAAAGAGAAATAGGCTAGGTGCAGTGGCACATTCCTATAATCCCAACACTTTGGGAGGCCAGGGTGAGCAGATCACCTGTGGTCAGGAGTTCAAGACTAGCTGAACATGGTGAAAGCCCATTTCTACTAAAAATACAAAAATTAGCCAGGCATGGTGGCGCATGCCCATAATCCAACATGGTGAAAGCCCATTTCTACTAAAAATACAAAAATTAGACAGGCATGGTGGTGCATGCCCATAATCCCAGCTACTTGGGAGAATCACTTGAACCTGGAGGCAAAGCCAAGATTGTGCCACTGCACTCCAGCCTGGGTGACAGAGTGAGACTCTGTCTCCAAAAAAAAAAAAAAAAAGGAAAAGAAAAAGAAATACTTAAGAACCAAAACCAAAGAGGAACAGTAAGTGTAGAGCTGACCTTTGGGTTGTCCTGGGGGTAACCAAAGGAGTTAGCTTTAAATAGCCATCTAGGGACAAGGTATGAGAGGCCTGGCAAGAGAGAAATAGGTGTTTGGATTTAATCCCACCAAATGCACACAAATCCTAAACCATTATAGAGTTACACCTGCCATAAAAGAGTGGACTAGAAAAAACATCCACCCCTTTGCCCATGGGCATAGAAAGACAACAGTGAAGCTTGTTTGTCGTGACTTGTACTCTGGATTGGAAAAGAAAGAAAATTCTCCCTTGAAAATTTACAACTATAGGCCAACCCTCCCAAGGGTTTAGAATTTACACTTACATTTTCTTTGTAGTCTGAGAAACCCTGAAGCTGAGAAATTGGTCTCCAAAGTGGTCTGTGGCTAGTAATATCCCAGGGATGCCTGGTAGAAGCAAATGAGATCTGCTCTGCATAGTCACACCTTGAACACAGCTCTGCAAGGCTATTATGAT